AATGTCTCTTATAATATTTAGTATTCATATTAAAACGTATAAATTTACTTAAGCGATGTACTTGAGTGATGTACTCCTATCTGTCATAAAAAATTTAGATGTAATTTATTGTAGTAAATATAATATAAATGTTATATATTTTTTTTAATGTGAGTATATAAAATAAATATATTTTACAATACAAAGTTGTTGATTCCATATTTTTTTGACGTTCTTATTAAAATAATTTATATTAATTGGAGACGCATTTTAAGTTTAACAATTTATTTTTTTATAAAGGTAACATTTTATTTTAAAACATTATAAATAACGGGCCATCAGGTAAGACCGCGCGACATCATTTCATTCTAATTTAGTTATGCGTCTAAAATTATGTTCCTAAGAATAAATCAGCTTTCCCCTACCACGGACCGGCAATGGGATACATATTTCTTCCCAGTACCCTTAGTACGAGTTTTTACTATGAAACTGTACACTGATCATTTCAATGTACTTTATGATTACTGAATTAAAAACATAGAAAAGCTAAATCCTAAAAGTGTACATATTAAATTGATATAAATATCTCTTTTGGTTTTCCACAATTTTATCATCTTATATTATAAAGGTTCCTAAATGTAGATAATGGCTTAGATGTCTAATAAAAACGTTATAATTAAACCTGTAATAACATATATAACATCTACCTTTTAAACTTATTTTTCCTGTGTCATATTTTTTTGTCCTTAATGTTTCTGGCATGTTTAAAAAATTGTTAAATAAATAAATAAAATTAAACATAATTGCTTACCTTTTTAATGTAATTAATTTTTCAGCAATATTTTATGTAGGTAGTTCAAATAAGAAAAATAAAATTTTTCTAAGTTGCATTGTGAAAGTATACATATATTTTTCATAGTAAGAACAGGGCGTTTCGAACGATTGGCGGTCGACACCATGAAGACTTTAGACATAACCTCAAACGTTCGGTGTTAATTAATGGCAGCTACGCCATCTATCGGTGACGCCCTATCAATCTTACACACTTGCAGCCGTAGCTATTTGTCGCGACTATTTCAAGATAAATAGACAACGCTTCGAATGGTATCCATTGAGAGGACGCCATGCATTCATACTATTCCAAAAATGACATCATAATTCAGCTTATATATTAATTTTTATGATAGATTTAGCTAAGATTTTATTAAGTAATTGGAGTTTTTGGAACGATTCTGTGTCTCTACGTTCAAATCCGTAATGTTAACACATAACCAACCGCGATCATCAATCAATAGGTGAATTGCAAAATATTCACATATGTATTTGTACACTAATGCTACAGACTTCGAAGAATGCATTTACACATCTCGCACTAAACTATGTATAGGTGTACACCTTCATTTCACACGATATAAATTTTAATAGCGCTATTGTGATCATTATTGACTTGTTAACAAGTAAAAGCTATGCCTAGACGATAATAAGGTGCCTTAGATCAAAGCGCACGAACATATTTAATATGTAGATGTTTTTATTAGACATTGCCGAAGAGCAATAATTATTAATAATGTCTGATATAAAATTGATTTAATGTTAAAATTTTTATAATTAGTTGTAATTTGTACTTGAGAGAAACATCCTTTATGCGCCTTCGGAAATTCCTTCAAACTCTATTCGTACGTGATAGAGTGTAATTTTGTAAAACGAATTTTATTGTACGTTTTATATTCTCAGGATGTAAGCAACGTAAAGCCGATTGGTTATTGGAATGACATACTGACTACAGTTTTTGTTTAAGATGCTGACTGGTTGACTAAATTGCTGGTTATACATCGATTCTTTTATATACGAGTGTCTGTAGCAAAAACGGCCAGACCATCGATACATACATACATTCTTATAACATCCTGTGTTAATAAATAAATATAAGCAAAGCTAACATTTTTTTAAACTAAAAACGGTTATTCATTAAATCCGTAGCTATGCTTTCTTTATATTCATGGATATCTTAAAAAATATATATTATATATAATATATTCAACTTAATGTAACAATGATATCATGTGATATTATAAATGTATAAAGGTATTGTCGTTGTGAAGAATTGTTATAGTGAGCTTTAGAGATAAAATTAAACGGAAACAGAATAATAAGTAGCGTTTCCACCGACACAAGAGGACGCTGTGGAGCTCAACATCTTTACTTAATTAAAATTTACAATTAAACCAACGGAAATGAAATGTATCGTCGGGTTTTTATAGAGAAAGCCAGCCAATAATCTATTAGACTATATACACATAATTATATAGGAGTATATATAAGTATAAAACTATATAACAAATAAATATTTCTCCGGTATCAGCGAAGTAATAGGTATTGCGATTATGACCGGTCAATAGGCGTATTACATTCGTTCGCCGTGACATATTATTAACAAATAAAGCTTGCCGCGCGCTATTGTTAGAGGCAGCGTAACAAATCGGCGAGTTTCTTGCGTGAAACGCGCATAACACCCCGCACTATCGGACGTCAATAAAGCTTTTTAAGGGTTTCGGATACCAAATTTTTAATTCGATGCTCGTTAAGCTAACGTCCACCGGATCTGGTGATGTTGTTTCAAATTTTATTGCTCTTTTGTAGACTGCCAGCAGTATTGTTCAAAATTTGATCTACACTTTAGAAACGTTTATATTTATGTATAAAAACAAAAAAATATGTCTCTGTTCTTGACTCACGGTAATTAGGATTCACACCCTAATATAACATTTCTAATGCTATTCACAGTAAACTGAAATATGTGAACGACTTATAGCTAGTATGAAATATGAAATTATATGACAATATTTCCAATAAACTACAGAGTATCCGACGGTAGAAGACGGTATTTATGCATAATGTAGTGAGGTTGGTTGAATTATTAACTGTTGAGTTGGATGAATCTAAAAAGTGCTAATAATAATGAACACGAACTTAGATGAGATCAGAAACACCTTACAGCAAGAGCTAGGTCTTGTGTGGCCGGTGATAGCATCGCTCGTGACCGGTGACCACGACGTTGTTTTCGATAGCTTTATTCTGTAGACTTCACTGTAGACAGTTGAGGCTAGAACTTTGTTTATGTAACTGTTATATCAGTGATATTTGAATGGAGATGTTCTATGGTTTCATTCGGAGTAGTTCTAGTGAACAACTTTGTTGTAACTTTCGCATTGTTAACTTCAACTACAGTGAAACTTGAATAAGGCAGTTAAATTAAATATTATTTTCGAATTTATTTAACTTTTCTCGTTGATAGGAATGTTAGTTTTAATGATTTTAAAACTCAATAATATTTTAGCGTTATTATGTCTAATCTAAGAACCTAAGATTCTTAAGTTTGTTACATAAAAAATATTTTTATTAAGCTATTGAAAATGTAAATGACGATATGATAAGCCAATAATGGTTTCATTAGAAGGCTACGATCGAAAGGAACCTTGCACAATTAAATAACTGTTATACACTTGATTATATTATTTTACTTGAGTTTATAAATATAATTGAGTTATATGTTAATAAATTGCTAGTAAGTGAACAGTAGAACTGAAATATAATCTAATTATTACGATTATTTTTTAAAACTTTCATTCCGGTGCACGTATTTAAATGTTGTAGGTTAATGATATCTCTTTCTACGTGTACTTATTTTCTTTGACTTTTAATATATGGATTTCAAAAAGGTAAATGTTTTAATAAAAAAATGAAGAGTGCTTCACTCTTAAACATATAAGTTCTGACGCTTTCGAAGTGTGCATAATTAATCTACATAGATTCCTAAAAAATAAATATGAAGCCTCTCCGAGATATTACGTTAAAATACTCCGATTTATTTTATGAAATTACTCCAGGCATGAGCTGTGTTTCGCATTTTAAATGTTGCCTTAAACGTTTATTTGTGTTAAAGCGACGATGTTTTTATTTTATGAATTCAGTCTACATTCATCTTTTATATCACATTTTATTTAAAATTTAAATACTTCATGATGCAAATATCATTTTTAAATGCAGAAGAAAATATAATAAATACTCCACTTTAAGAATATCGTCGCGGTTTTAGAGGTTACGAAATAAACGAATGATATTTGATCCAGATATCGTAGGGTCGTGGAATCAAGACCACACTGGGATGTCTCACTCGGTAGTCGAAGCCACTATCTACCATCTTGATCCTTTACCGGTTTTAATTATATAAATAGAATTCATCTGGCTATATCTAAACTCACGTAATCATCGAAGTTTGAATATGGAGTTACGTTTTGGTATATATTTTACTTTCAACATTAGGTATTAAATTTCTGCTGTGCGGTGCCCCTGAAAGGCTGAATCAATTAAAGTTTAATTAATTATATGTATAATTAAAAGGCGTGTTTATAAAAAAGTACCATTAGTGTTTAAATTACAATAATTATACTTTTATTTCAAAGCAAGCGAATAGATATAAAACTTATGGCTAACAAGAAATGTTGAATAATTTAAATATTAATTAATTCTCTTATAAATAAATTTCGAGTTGCGCAAATGCTTACAAACATTGCGATTATTTGTATACATTTATAACACCTGTTTGTTATAGTGGTTTGATATGGTATTAGTGGGTTGTTGACTTAAAATTGAGGAAATTGTTTCTGTTAGGCGAACACGCTAATGTATCGTTAGAGGGATCGTAACATCATAGTAATTGATATGAAGCGCTCTGATAGAACGCCGAAAAGCTAATGAATGTACCGAAAGTATTTGTGCATCTACTAATTGTTGATGATAATTGAAGTAATGATGTAGACAGCTGCATTTACCGTTTAGGCCGGATCCTCACTATTTGAGGCCAATTATATCGAATTTCAAATGAAGCCCCTGGAAAAATGTTTTATACATATTATTGTAATATTTATTTTTATATGCAAATTCTCTTACCTTATCCAGTAATATATTTATATATAAGTTTTAAAACGTCATGGTTACACATTCTATTATCTTATTCGTAGGTTGTACGGTTCAAAGCGGTGTTCTCGTTGCAACACGACCATTTCAGCGTCAGAATTGGTGATGAGAGCGCGTGACTTGGTCTTTCACATCCACTGTTTCTCCTGTGCACTCTGCAGTGCCAGACTCACAAAAGGCGATACATTCGGCATCAGGGATTCTGCTGTTTATTGCAGGTAAGTTCCAGAAGTTCCCAGATCAAGTCAATGATAATAAGTTTTATAGGTACTTTTCACGTTTTATTATTATATTTTTGTGTAATTTGGTACCAATGAGAACCATTACGCTGCTATAAAAGTAGGAATACGAGAGGCTAATAAAAAGGAATCAATTTTATATTTTAAGATTCTTTTTACGATACGTGTAAATAAGCCAGCAAGAATCTTGAGATTTGCTGATCAATGCTTTTAGGCTAGAAGAGTTAAAGTTAAAGACTATTGTGCCGCAAACATTAATATTTATTTGTTATATTTTTCTTCTACCATTTGTTAAAACTTTTAAAAAATTTCTTAAAACAGATATTTTACTTAATATTCGTGATAGTGTGTAAAATAATAAATTATTATTTTTTAATTAATTACAAAATGCACAAAAATCTCTTTTTTCACAAAAATTATATACCTAAGTATACCATAAGTACTAACTTAGATTCTATGACAATATTAAAAGTATATTCCTAAGTGTTGAGAATTCTGAAATAGCCAATTATCTTACATAAACAGTTGAAATGATTGCTAAAAATATTGTCTGTGAACGATTAATAAAATTTAATTACGAGAAAATAAACTAATGAATTTTATGTGACTATAATATTATTTTCGTCAATATAAGTATGCCTTCTCGTATTATTTAGATTGTAAAAAAATGTGTTATACAGGTTATAATAATTTTTTTAAAGGTAAATAACTGTTTATAATTTTCCATTATTAAAAAATGATATTCAAATCATAACAAAGCCAAGATCGTGAGGGATTTTTGAAATAATAAAAAAGTTTTTTCTCAGGCTACACTACGAAACTATGCCGGACTATGCTCCCCATATGTCTGTTCCGGGGCCTCCACAGATGTGTCCAGGCCCTTACGCGGGCCCTCCACCGGGTTCGCACTACCCACCATACCCCTCTCCTGAGTTCTCCCGAGTGGAGCCCGATGTTCCTAAGGGTCCTTTCTTCAACGGGGTATCAGCTCCTCCGCCAAGACAAAAAGGCCGTCCGAGAAAAAAGAAGCCAAAAGACCAAGATTTAATGACGGCAAATCTTGGTAAGTTCTACGAATTAAAATGTTTTTTTTTTTTAATGCGAAATGGAGAATGCTTTTAAATTTTTTACTTCAAGGTATTTTTGTTTCAAAATTTTGATTCATTATATAAAGGGGAAAATATTTAATCGTAAATATATCGTTGTCATCACTTGCCGCTATACTCCAAATGAATGCTGATACGAACCTCGGACACCGCTTTGCCGACAAAACGGTTACAATTTTATTAACACATTAAAGTCAAAACTGCACTTAACTTATAAGATTAGGTATCGAGGCCCACTTCCCGTGTGTGAGTTTTATAAAAAAAAAAAACATTTCGCCTTTTCGTGTTATCAAAACCAGTTGGTATATCTGACCGACAGCACTGTTGCGACCGATTGCTGGCCGTGTCCCTTCATGAAAATTTCATCTTAACATAAGTTTGGAATTTAATATGAATTGCAAATACATATATGTAAAATAAATGAATAGGACAAATTCTGTAATAATATAGGATACAGATATATAACGCGGTGTTAAAAAAAAAAAGAAAATTAGGTAATATTGATCGGTTGCAATCCATCATAAGCATAGACATATATATGTCATTCCATCTGAAAGATCTATTTGCCTTAGACTAGAACTATTAAAACTCGTTAATAATTACCTTATTATTTTTATGTTTTATAGTTAAAAAGCAAAACAGTACAGTATACATAATATCAAAGCTATAGGTGAAGGTACTCGTGAACGTTTGTTAAAGAATTTATTTATGGTTCGTACATAAGCCTAATAAGGGTGTGCAACCCCAAATTATATTGAAAAAGGAGACGGGAAGTATGGGGGGTGGTATATTTTAAGAGAATTCTGACAAAATAACGTATACCATGTACGAAAGAACAAAAATTTTCAGCATAATGATTCATTAAGATATAGTTTCATGATATTTACAAATACTTTGTTCAGAATATTGCTCTTAACAATTGTATCAAATATTTTTTAACAATCAGGTTTAAATGAAAGTGGGTGATCGAAAAAATAATAATCTAGACTAGTATATAGAGTACGATCATGTGAAAATAGATCAATTAAAATATTTGTTTTGCGAAATTATATCTTTTGAACGAGTATATTGTGACATTTTCAAGGGATGTTTCGTAAAAAATGGTTTCGTGGCTATCGGTTTTGGTCAGATGGGTTTTTTCTAGAGACGCCATTTTTAAAATTCGGTCCGGTTTGAACGAATCTCTTTTTGGCCTGCCATTTCAATTATAAGGGAACGTGGACTTACGCAATGGTGACGGGTTGGCGTCAACATCGCCAACCTACGCTGTACTCAGTAAGTGGTCAACGTGAAAATATGAGACTGGTATCATTGTCATACCAATACGAAAGACGTAATTTATCGTTGATATTGAGAAATGAAAAAGAACAACAATAAATACAGTTGAGATTGGGGACATTTTAGAATAAATACAAATTATTATAATTCGATTTTTTAAGGAGAATTTACATTTTTTTAATAAACTCATGTGTGCTCCCTAAGGTTGTTAATTAAAAATATATTAAAAATGGGCTTATTAATTAGTCGCTATTGTGCTAATAATAATTGATAAATCTATATTTAAATGATAACTGGAGTTAATAAATACTATTAAAATTACTTCGATACTCTTCACGATAGCAGTAATCGAAATTCACACAAATATAAGATAAAGTATAGTGTATAATATGTAAATGTTGAAAAAATATTTAATTAATGTGAGTATATTTTAAAAACAAGAATTTATATTGTATGGCTATTCAAGATTAATTTATATATAATAAGTATTTGACTACCATTAACCAATTAAAAAAAAAGAAAAAATCTATTTAAGATAAGATACCATAAAAATATTCAATATACAATATATTGCGGTAAAATGAAAATATTAGTAATTCAAATTCAAAAGAGGCGGCAATATGTTTATATTTTCAAATATTAAACGGTATTTAACTAGAACATGTAATCTGTGATTATGATAATTTATACAGCGCGTATCTGTGAAGAAAAAAATTAAATTTATTTTTTGGATGTCTTTACATAGGCGGCTTGTGTAAAGTTTAATGTTTAAAATCTATATCATATCACATGTATGCTAAATAAGTTATCAAGCCGCTCTTAACATTCCTCATTAATTAAATCATTATTTTATACAATAACAAATATCCAATTACTTGCTTTCAAATATACTTCTTTAATCAAAACTAAAAAAAAAAAACTACAAAAAGTACTTACTAAGCGACCAATTTCTGTGTAAACCTAATTATTTTTGAATAATGAAATTAGCTACGTGTTTTTTAGTAGGTAGTCATAGATTTTTTGATTTTATTTTAAAAGAAACATTGTTAAAAATGTATTATAAAACTGCAATCTAACAAAAACATTTTCATTTTAATAACACCAAACAAAAAGTTATTATTTTTATAAAATATAAAGTTCACTTCTGTATAAATCTGGCAAGATATCTTTTTTTAAATTAACATTCGAAAGAAATTTATCGCACGAGCGATAAATTTTAGTTTTTACTTTTGTACCTGGAACTAAAAGTAAATGAACTCGGAAAAATCTCGAAAATATTTTATGAACAATAATTTAATTTCACTCCAGTGCGCTGAACTTCATAAGCGTCTTGTACATGTGTATAATTACAATTTGGATATGGCATTCTGAACCTGTCAGATTACTTTGACTTTCTGACTATGTGACCATAAATTACATTAACTGGGGGAAAAAAATAACGCTTCCTACTTCAATAACGGGAGCGAAGTAAATTATTCGTCGTAATGAAGTTGTCGCATCTGCTTCGAGGTCACGTGGGATCACCTTTAAGTTTTTTTCTTAGTTTTATTAGTTCTACCAGTCGGTTTCCTCGATGCACCGCCATAAATTTTGTATGGTCGCATCTAAGGGCAATCGTGATTTATTTCCTGCCAAAATATGTGCCCGATATATTTTTTTAAATTTCTTTTTGGCACCGGACATTTCGAGTAGCGTTCGACGATTATACAGATATGGCTGTGTTCCGTGGCCGACGGTAGTTGGTTAAAAAATAACTTTTTTATTTTTATTGCGACCAAACCAAACCTATGGACACTTTTAGTTTTTCGTGTTCGTTGTTTTATTATGATTAGCGATAACGTCATCACGAAAGTTGGGAACTGGATTTATCAATGAATTCTTTTTATTTAAATTTTGTGTACACCCAATAATTAATTCCAATAGATAATATCAAAAATCGAGATTTCCTTATTTAATCACCATCTCTTTTGGTTTTTGGTCAAATAAAATATATGTACCTATATAATTTACAAGATGGATTTATTTTAAAGTAAGGTTAAAGTACTCGTTTTTCAGAGTGCATAATATTTTAATAGCACATGTATATACATTTTATTTATATAAATGTATATTAAACATACATATTGTTTGGTTGATGGTCCCAGTACGCGTCAGTCGGCTAATGTGATATCCATGTTAGTTCGTTTTGTAACCGCCGCTATCTCGCACAAGACATCTGTATCAGTGGCACACCGGCTCAATAGCTTTATATTAAACTCTTATTTATTACTCGAACCTCTCCAGTTTAGAAGATACTCTGTTTGTGGAACTCGAAATGAAGATGTTGTTTTTTAAAAGCAAAAAAAGCTTTATCAATTAAGTAACTTTGAAAGAGACGTAGGAAACGATTTGGTTGTAGCTGGCCGAAAAGTATTTTTGTTTATTTATAGTAAGGTATATTTTGTTAAATAAAGTTATAATTTTATAATTAGATATTACTTCTAAAGCTCACATCATTCAGTCTGTGATAACGATATAAAGAAATTTAAATATTAATGTTAAAATAACTTTGGTTATAGAAAATATAAAAATATATAAACTGTATATTTTATGAAACGTATAAAATTAAATACATTGATAAAGTTATGTTAAACATGAACCTTCCGGCCCTAGTGGTGTGATAGTTCTGTGGTAGTCATTTTGTGAACGGACATATTTTAAATATTACCAATTTTAAAAACATATATACATTATGGTTTTTATTAGGTTTGTAAATATGTATAGATATACATTGTTTATGTTGTACAGGAAAGTGAATGTATAAGTCTAGTTTTAGAAAATGATATGCCTATCACAATCACCTACAAAATTTATATAGTCTTATAATAAAGGAATTGAAGAAATGAAATTATTATAACAAATCAAATAAATATATAACTAGATTTGATTTATAAAAATTTCTTAATTAATAAAGTTACATCACTAACAAAAAATGTGAAGTCCGTCGTTATTCTGACGGCTGTTTTGATATCTATCAGTGTACCAGTCCAGAGTTTCGGTAGTAATAACAGTTAATATACGAGCGGCGCTTCGATGGTTCGCGCCAGTCCGTCGCATATGAGTTAGTACCACCGGTAGCGCCCCCTGCCGGCACGCTATGCTCCCCAACACGTTTTATATCCACACGACGCCGACTAAATTAATATCGTTAAACCTACACACTCAGTGCTGACAACGTTAAAATATTTGAATATCAAAATAGATAAAGCTTTCTATTTTGCAGTATCATAGCACGATGGGATAGAAAAAAAATAGTGGCCACCGGACGAGGACATATCTTGTAGGAAATCTAGGATTTTTTTGCCGACTCAATGGCATGAATGGTGCTTACGATTTATGACATCACAATGATCTTTTTATAACTCATCCACTTTTTGTTAGCGTTATCTTTGTACATTTTGTGTTTCGATCTATTAATAATGTCTCCTTTTACTGGTCGTGATGTTTTATAGCCATCAATATTGATGACTTTGGGCGGAAATTCTATAAATAACTTAATGTATAAATTCTGAGGTGTAGATATGCCAAAAAATATATATGTATGTATATATTTATTAGAATAACCTCAAACACAGCGGAGTTACTGAGCAAAACATGAAAATTCTCTTGTATGCAAATCCTTTTCTGTTTGCCAAGCGACCGTATCAACTGGTCGGTGCACGAGCGCTAAAGGCGTTTGCGTCACCACCAGCCTAAAGGGAACTTTCAATGCACCTTTTTCCACAGTTAAAGCGTTTTGTAAGAGTTCATTTTAAAGTCGAGAAGGTATCTTAATTATTTTGTTGCCACTTTTATCACTGACAGTGGGTGCGTAAATCATGTCAAGTAAATACAAACGTTCCGTCAACGCGGCCCATCTTGACTACGATCGGTGTGGGACCACCTTTATTATTCACCTATTGTTTTATAACAACTATTTAATATTTCAAGTTATAAAGCAACTAGATTATTATTAGGATGCTTAAAAGTTTGTTTACAATTAATACTATAATCTATTACTGTTATTAAGTTTTTAATATGCTTTATGTCAGGCGAAAAGTTTGTTGCGTTCACTAGAAGAATTCAATGGTAAATATTCGATTATCGCAGGCGGTCAGTTGGAAAGCGTGCCATTATTCGCAAATCGCTCGCGGTGGTCATTAGCTCTCGAGTAAAATCCAACGGGTCCCTGGATAATTACATACGGTGCTAATTGTTCACATTCAAATCACGACAGGTATGCGGTTAACTTCTACAATCACAAACAGATTTAATTTATTAGTGTCGCACATGATTGATCTATTATCAAGTTACTTTTATTTTAATACGCGACTTTTGTTTATCTAAAGCACTTATATGTAGTTTAAGCTCCATGAGTGTTGAATATATTTAATCATGTTATCCACTCGTAACAGAAACGCAATTTATAAAGAAGAATAATTTTAGTCCTATCGTTAGTATAATAATATCTATCACTGAAAACTACTTTAAAATTCTATATTTTGTTTTTATATTTTTGTTTCGTAACCATACACACGAGAAGTTAGGAACACGCAATAGTATCGAGATTTTAAGTCAAATATACGTTTTATCTGGGCAACAGATAACTTCGTATTTATTCTTTTTGTCTTTGTGAAGTTGCCCTGTTGGTTTCTTTGTCCAGATCGGCACGCACATGGTTTTGGTATATTTATTGGCAGCAGTTTTTATTGGTCATTAAACTCGTCGCGTTGCTGCTGCGTTCCATTCCCGTCACGGATACGTCATGCAAAAGCTGGGAAATCGTAACGGAAAACAATGAGCGGTGCCCAAGTTGCTATCGTATTACTACCTAAATATTTTGAAGTACCTAAATTCTTAACCCATAAATCTTTGAATTGTTTATATGTTAGAAATGTCAAGGTTCGTGATGACGATCGGTTCGAATAAGCAATAAAGAATTAAATGTACGCCGGTAAGGAAACCAGGATAATTTTTCATTTATTTAATTTCTGAATGAAAAACAATCATTATAAATTACCGAACTTATTATGACAGTAAATAATTATTTAGATCGTTTACATTAGTATTGAGTATGTACTTAAATAAAACATTTAATAAATTAAATTTATTAAGTGAGTTATTTAGTCCAGCTGTTTTTTTTCTTAATAAGATTACACAAATGAAATTGAATTGGGTAGAAGAAATATAATATGATTTTAAACTTCTCTAGGAATTTATTAAAAATTCGAATGCATTTGACTGCTGATATTATTTACTTAATGGACATCATATTGCGAAATTGCAGAGCGAATTTGTGAACATGTGTTTGTTATTTGGCTGTGATAATTTTTTATGAAATTAAAGGAAAATAATTATAAATATCAAAAATATAATATACTGCATTAGGTTTATTTTTTCGATGTGATTTCAATTGGTAAGATATTATTGATTAAAATCACATCCTACTTATAAAGATAGTTGAAAAACTAACCCTCCTGATGTTTAGCATTTAGCAGCGTGAATTGTGTTCTCCTATCAGATCTCAACCCCGACTACTTGGAGATGGGTTTCCGGGGCGGCGGTGGGCTGGGATCCACATCACGCACAAAGCGCATGCGCACCAGCTTCAAGCACCACCAGTTACGCACCATGAAGTCATACTTCGCCATCAACCATAACCCAGACGCAAAAGACCTGAAGCAATTGAGCCAGAAAACTGGCCTTCCCAAAAGGGTGTTACAGGTAATTATTTTGTTTATGCACTTCACGGTCCTTACATGGCTTAAACATTTGGCAATGTTCATTGATGTTTATGGCAGGTTGTTGTTACGTGTCTGAGGACAATTACAAGTAAGGGAGTTTTTTGTTCATTACGTTTCTTGAATATAAATTAACCCTTAATTAAATGTCTATATCACATAATGACCTTCCTTATGATGAAAATAATGCACTTGGCGATGGTATTTAGGATTTTGTTGTTAGCTTAGCGCTTATGGGTTTTGCGAAATGTACGTTAAGTTTCAGGTTTATTTCAGGCTCAAAATATATTTAAATAGAAAAAATATAGTCCTAACACTTTTCTTATAACATATTCTTAGAGCTACATAAAATATAATGCCTAAAGGTTATTACAACTGTTTTCAGGTAAGCGGTTCTGTAATTGTATATGAAGAAACGTTTTGTTTACTTACTTTACTACAAAATAATGTATATACATGTATGTTTATAACAGTAATTGCCTTAAACACAACTAGCTAACGTTTATATAAAATCAAATTTATATTTATATTGTGTTTTAGTTCATTCAGGCCATTGGGAGTTATTAGAATCGAACAAAATCGTTTTTCGATAAAAGAATTGGTAATTTTTATTTATACATTATATTAAACCCTGGAAAAGAACATGAGTAACTAATTAAAAGTACTTAAAAAACCCATTTAAAGAATGTCTAGATATTTTGCCTTTACATACTTTTAACTACTTCAGAAACAAAAGTTTACACTGAAAATCAAATGGCTTCTTATGTTTATTTTATAAATTCACATATTAAAATATTCCAGACAAGTTTTTGCTGTATGCAAAATTCTAAAATTTATTCCGTTTATTTGATTTAAATATATTATTTCAATAAATTTGCTTCTTAAAGGTTTTTGATGGTCTGGTACTGCAGATTTTACTATAGTTTTGAAAAGTAGAATACAAACTATGTCTAGCCGCTTCTACCACTACCACAGGTTCTAATAACTTGAATACACATCGGCATATCCTAACAATTTAGACCCTTAGATTGCTTCTAATTTGTTTGTCCGAGCGGCCCTTTAATGTGGATCTTACACGGTGTCTTCAAAGACCTATCCTTTGTTTTCGTAATTACAAGATTTTTGAATACTCACGTCTTTCGTATGGCTTGTATTAGCGGGTTGTTTTAATGTTTGTCTACTCAAGTGAAACTTTAGCGTACATTGATCTGTTTAGGTATAATTTGTCGCTTCCTGTTTGGCTAAGGAGAAGTACGTTGTCTTTTGAATAATACTTAATTTCTATTTTTATTATGTATATTTGTTTTGATAACTCATATTGTAAATTTTATCATGTGTGCCATATCATAGATACAATTTATACACTTAGACTTTCCGTTTTAGCGATGTAGGTATATAAACAGTAGGCATTCCCTTGCCTTTTATCGACATACCGAGCCAAGCCGACTTGGCCCGAAAGGTAGATAGCAACCGCCGCATAAATTTCCCCTCAACCAATTATATGAACGCAAGGAGAATCTTTCTCTCTCCGACCTCCGAATATTGATCGTAATTTTTTCTTAGTAAAGTGAACGGCCTGTGTTCCATTTTGCAAAAGATAAGGGCTTTTTCGTTTTGCCTGCAGATTTTTGGCTGGTCGCTCCCGTGGAGAAATCTTGTGGATTTCTTTTTCTTCTAAAGATAGCATCAGATCATCATGATATTGCAATGGATTTACTTAAAGTAAATCTTGAATTAAAGTTGGATCGTAAAAATTTACATTATTTCATAATTCCAAAAAAAAAACGTCAGTGCTAGTCATAAAAATACAGACAAATCGAACATTAAAGTGTTAAAGACATTTTGTTATATTTAGCATTATAAAAAGATAATAAATTGTTTTTTTATTGATACGACGCTTTTAAAAGTAAATATTACAACTTCGCAAATTGTTCTTAGCTTCATAAATGTCTTTAAATGCCTGTGTTTGTTTTGTATTCATGTGTTGTAGTATAAACATAGTACATATATTATTTCATAAAGTAAATTTAAATATATGAAGGTCAGTTGGAGTCAGGTGGATTTAGAATTTATTGGAAAATAACAATTGTCTGATTGTGGATGAGTGGGGCAGTTGGATGTTGTCACGCATGCGTCTAATTGCCGCGGGTGCCTCTTGTAATGTATGGGGCGACACCGTAACCCCGACGCGGGCGCATTTAGAACAAACTGCGCCATAATTCTCTTCGTGCGTCTGCAATTGCGTGATTTGTCACTCGCTCCGTTTGTATTTTTTTCTCGGCTGAAAAATGAGTCAGGTTCAAGTAGCTCGCCGTAATTAGTTGATTGAAAAAGTGCTTTTCCTTGTTCTCGGGATTTGTGCGATGCCTAATCTATGGTTCGCGATACTGAATATTTAATCGGACTATAAATTGTTTGTTGGGATACAAAATAGTTTTGTTTTTAACATTATCCTATATAAGGAAAGTGGACTTCGCATAGAACTTAATAAGTCTTTAAAAACTAATATCTTTTTTCTAACCGACCACCATTGCTTAAAACCATCATATTATTCTCTTAATTTAAACACTATAAAGATGCTTCTTGACGGCACACAAATAACTCTAAAAGTTCAGAAGGCGTCTCAACCCCGGCAATTAGAGTCGGATGGTCACACCTCAACATTGGGGCAAATATAATTTTACTTTCTAAGTACATTTAGTGACAATAATAAGTATCGTCACTGGTCGGAATTTCGTCCTTAAAGAGTATTGTGTAAGGTACATTTTCGCGCTGGAAGATGAGAAGATCACAATCAAACGCTCTAGTAATTAGTAAGAACGCATCGTCCAGAGACGCTCGGTTGGGCAGATAATTTCCGCCGCGATTTCAAAAGGCATCCATTTGTCATTTGGTCGCGCGTACTCACGCCGAGCGGACGTGCCGCGTCTACCTCATAATTTATTCACATATTATTTATACAGCACGGAAAATGTGACTATTAATTACATCTCCTCAGATTTCATTTACACAAGGGAGAAATTCTCGGGTCTCTTTGATCGTTGTGTTTATTTAGACATCATTTAATATAAGTTCCATCGATAACATCATATTATTTTATTGATGGAAATTATTTTGACTTAATTCCAATCAATAAATAACACTGAATACTTTGATACATAAAACGTTTTAATACTTATAATTAATATTTATGTTAGTTATTCGTTTACCATATTTCTTCCTATTTTTTATTTGTATATTATTATAAGTATTAAAAAGATTGACATATTTAATGAATACAATATCTAAGTACCGGTCTGTATCTCCACACTGTTTGTAATAAAATAGTCAAATATTATTGACATACTTAGAGGCGAGGAGCACTTTGTCAATGTCATATTTGTACGGCTCGGTACTGATTTACATCTTGTTTAAAATATAGTACAAATACACAATCATGTCTTATTTATAGTATTATTATTTCAACGGATATTAATATTGTAACAATGAAAAATAAACTTTTGAATTTCCATTAGTTTCAAAATTTTCTTTATTTGTATTGATGGTAGAAAAAAAAATTGTGAAATGATTCAACTATCAAGTAGCTTTAAAATTAAATTATGTTGCCTATGGGAGTTAAGTCATCCAGTACAAAAAGAATTGCATACAATTAATTAAAACTTCGTAACCACATCAATTAATGACAAGACAATGTTTCCACTAAAAAATTGCTGTTAACCATTACCACTGTTTTTAAATTGAAGCAAATTGAATCTTAATGTTTCATCGGAAGAGTTTTTATTTGATTGTTAATTGAATTGTGTTATGCTGTATCAGATGGTTCGTCCTGTGGAAGTCCCATACCTGTACAGACTGAAAGCAGAATAGAAAACTGTAGAGCCGTATTTTTATGATTCTAAATATTCTTCATAACTTCTACGACATTTTGACATAAGTGCCGTTTGAAGTCGTTAAGCACAAATTAATAATTTAGTTTACTTTTAGATTTTAAAATACTTTCTGGATTTATTTGGAGCCACTGGACCCCTTTTGACGAGTATGTTTACTTCCGATATTCTAAATGTTTCTTTACAATTTTAAACATTTTTCGTTCCATGATTTTTCTCATTGTTAGGCCCACTCGTATTATGGATAGCTATGTTGTTGAGATAATGAGGGGCACCCAGGCACGCGGCCCTCATTATTTTATGATGCTTGTTGGCTACGTCAATTAAAATTCAGGAGATTAAGCTTAGGTATGGAATTTGATTTGATTGTGTCAGGCGTTTCAGATTCACTGAGATGCTCCCATTAAAATCTGCTAATAAAATAGAAACGGATTCTTCGTGTAGAATTTAAATGAAATTTGTATAGTATTAGACGTGATTAGAATATTACATAAGTAGCAGAAGCAAGGATGAATGTAAGAGATTGCTGTCACTCATGCGAGTATTCTGGGACCACCATGCGTTATCTTCTGTCAAACGGGTATGTGCGGACGTGGCACCATCAATCGTACAAACTCATATCGTCTTGAACGCTCTTCACCCATTTCTCATACCGATGCCCTTTGACGCTATCTTACTCCATGTTATATGACGATTTACGAACCCGCTGACTGATATATTCATTCCGTGTTCGCTAATTGGCTGTGTTTTAGGTATGATATCCAATTAACATTCTTTACCGATATTTTAAATATTTTTAAATATTGCATTTTAGAGGTGGCCAAGAAAGAATGGATCATCTAAATTTGGCATTAGACAACATTCGTGGCAGCCATGACGCGGTAGGCGGAGTCACCACTGCCACTAACTGCTATTGGTCATTATATTTGCGCGTCCTGATGACTGCGTATTAGGCAAACATTAACGTATTGACATTGACACTGTTGTAGAAACTTTAACATTACCTTTATGTCCTTAAGAAAATTTATGTATATACATACAAGTACCACATATTTTATTATACATGAATGGGAAATATATGAGTATTTAATAATAACCAAAATACTATTAAGTTCTTAATTAGATATTGTATAAAAAGATATAAAAAATACAAAGAAAACTTCTGAGTAAGATATTTCTTCAGAATAATTTTTCCTTTTTTGAATGACTAAACTAAGAAACGGAGCATTGTCAGTTTTTTTATTGTAAAACGTTTATTGAAAATAAGGTCTGAATTTTTCCCAATGATTGAATCAATACAACATAATAAATATAATAAACAACAAATAATAAAAAGGAATACAACATTTTACTCGATTGCCTGGTAAAGTCATATAATTTGTTGTTCTCTTGCTAAGCTGAGCGTTAACATTTGTTATGATCGCGAAAGTCACTCCCCTGTACTGATTACCCTTTGCCAACATCAACAGTGTTCTTTTTTGTTCTCAGGTATGGTTTCAAAATGCGCGGGCAAAATGGCGACGCATGGTGACAAAGCAAGAGAACAAGATGACGGACAAATGTTCTCCAGACGGTTCCTTGGAGATGGACATATACCACGGACCGATGGGTTCCATACAATCCTTACCCCCGCACAGCCCGCCCTACAGCGTGATGGGAGGCCCCCCGAGCCCGAACTCGATGGACTGTCCATAGCTGCAATTTTGCGCTTTGTGAGCGCTTTACAACTGAACATTGTCTTCGGACGTGCAGTTCTTACCGGCACACTAATTGTATGGTGTAGAAAGCTAGTGGAACAGTTGATAAGTGGTGATAATAATCACATGTTAAGATGTGTTGTGGAATGTCTGTGAGAAACCAATGACTATGAGAAGAATCTTTTCGATGTCAGTGTAAAGTTAACTAGTGGTGTATACGGTTATGAAAGTCCAGATATAAACTCTGTATGATATACATGATTAAATTACCAATGAGTCGAGTGTATTAGAAATCTTACTTGAATAAAATATGGATTTGTATTGCAATATTTTTTATAGCGGTTCAAGTGCTTAAATAATTACAATAGCTGTAAATCTTTTTTTTTATAATTGTTATCGTGTTCTATGAACTGTCCACTTATGACCAAAGTTTGGCTCTATTATATTGTAATATAATATATAACAAAACACATACTAGCCAAGCAAACATCTCCGATATTGGCTTGATGAAATAACTATTCAGTATAAAGGATATGAAGTTTCTTGCCAATAGTAATCTATTTTAAGTAATTGTCAAATATCTTCAAAGTCCCACTTTAGAGGTATCGAGGCAACTGATACGATTAAAATTCAACTCCGATTTTAAATATTGAAATATTTCCTCGATATTTCTCAAATCGCGAACTGGTTAAGCGAAAACTTGGGCACGTTATTAAATGCAAACATCTGAAAAAACAAACAAATATATTAAATGAGAGCAAAATCATTTTCATTTTAAAAGCTCCGCTAAAAAATATTTTACAGTATAAATATTGTGTTTGAATTTTTAAAACACTTATCAAGTAAAAGGCTGAATGAAACGTGGTTATGCATAAACAGAAAATATAGAGTTTATTTCTTATTACGGACGATTCTATGTTACTCTACTTATTAATTTATTGGTATAATGTGAATTTACATCGACTGAGTGTTTATTCGGTAGGTGTCAATGAAATGGTACTATGTAAGAATTTTTAATTAATATATACTATTTATTTATTGAATCCTCTATTTAAATTAGTGATTAAGATATGTTAAGAAATAATAGCTACATGTGACAATTTCCATAGTAAGGTAATCTAGCGTTAAATATATACGATAATGGTTCATAAATGGAAAAATTCTCAAAGCTTATGTTGGTTACAGCAAGCTGTATGTATATGTAGTTATATCAGATATTACATACATTAAACGATTCGAACAACGAGAGATCACAACTGTGTACTATAACAAAAGCAATTCTTAGTGTTAGTTAAAATTAAAGTTTAATATTTCGATAAGTGCACGCACTGGTAGTTCCTTTTTTTGTATAAAATTACATTAATAGCGTATTAGAGTTTCTTACATTAAGCTACCACAAAGTATATAATCCTATTCTTACAGTAGGCGATAAATTAGTGATAATTAAATGAATGTAACTGTTACAATGTTAAGGTAAAAATGCTCACGAATACTCATCAGCTGATTGATTCATGTGACTAAAATAATATGATGTGTTAATAAAAAATTACAACATACTCTTTTTTTATTCCCATTTCCTTGTGTATTAAGAGTTCCAAAAGAACGATTAAAATGAATATTTCATAAGTTAAAAGATGGTTCATATGTGTTGTAAATGTAATACATGACTTTAGAACAGCAATAATAACTATGCACACTAAAAAATAAAAATAATTTTAAGTGTGAAAAGTAACTGAATATTTTTAATTAAAAGAAAAAGTTAATTCCACAAGCAACTAAATGTATAATTTTTTGTTAAGTACATGTATTTGTTGTTTTTGTATAGGTAGTTTAATCGGAATAGGTGTTAGTTATAAAAAAAATTATATGAAACCTTAGGAAATAAAATAATCTGAAGATACCATGATAACAAATAAGATATTCAGATATTTTAATTTATATTAATTCGAGTTCTCGTATTACTTTTAATGGATTTTAATTGAAGAAACTTGTACCGTAATGTCCTGTATTTCCTACTAAGCTCTAAACTTTTGTTATATTATTTATTTAGGAATAAAATATTATTTATAAAATAGAATTTTTCATGAAACCCTATTTACATGTGTTTCTGTTGAATGTGTCTATAAGAAGAGAAACATTTAGTGAGCCCCCAAGCAAGCAGCACGGGTAGCTTAATTTAAGGATCGCGTTCAGAAGCTAAACTTTAAAATTACGAGCTGTCACATAAGCGCGTCCAATGGAGGAACCTGAGTTATGTTGTTTTAATTAAAACAATAAATAAGGCGGGACGGCAGCTGGGGCTTTGGGTGGTCCCATCGGATTCCTTATTCGTAATTCCGAGACTTATCAGTACAGCGAAGATCTGACCTTACTTTACAGAACTTTTAGGTAATTTTTCCAAACTAATTGTTACTCAAAGAACTTTAAGATCATATTAGAAAGATAAATTGTAGCTATGTAAGAAATATACCGTAAGATCCGCAAACACAAACGAAATAAGTTAAATCGTTTTTAGTGAGTGACATACTCTTGTTAGTCACCGTTGTTGGTAAAATGCTATATAGGTAACTCGGAAATATACAATGGGAAGGTTTGAAAATAAAACCAACGGGAATGATTCAATAATTAAGAGTTTATGATCTGTCTTTAAATATTATACAAATTATAAAAGTAAATATTTTATGTTTAAAATAGGCTGGTGAAAAATAACAAAAAAAAGTTTCAAAATAAGTTTATCGATAAGCTTCGTGAATTTAATGATAATATTTTTTAGCCATGGAATCTGTATTACTCACACATACATAGTTCTTAGAACTTATTTCCTCGGTGACTCCATCTTTGCGGATTTCTGAGGGCATCTTGTGGTTGGTGCATAAAAACTGGTCCTGGTACTTGTAGTCTTGCAATCTGGTAGTCACCATTCAAGGGTAACAGAGATGCAACATACGTTAACAATATAAGGGTGAAAAGGAAGGAGATACAGTGTCGCTTAACGGGACGACAACTTTTCGACTGAAGTTTGGAGCAGGGTTTTGTTTTATTTATCTGGTAAATGATTTTTGGAATCGATTAAGAGTTTATCAATTTTTCTATATACTCCACAGGAAATACCACTCTGATGATTGACTCATTGAGAATATTTACTGTCTTAAAAGGAAGACTGAAAAAATAAGCTGCAACTGATTGACATTACTCACTTTATTTTATGTTACCAAAATCCTTGTGTTAATCATATTTTACGCATAAATGATATTAAAATTTTATCAAAATAAAATGTAAAAGTATTACTAGAATAACACAGTCTATGCCAGGGTTTAATAGTAACTTGTCATATAAAACTACATTCTTATAACCAACGGTACTTTAGCATTGTTGATAGCGGACAGTTTGTATTACCGTCATTTTACTTGTTCAATATTAATTAAAATTAATCTGACGTCAAAACATTCAAAGAGATTGAATATAAAGCGCACACGTGATATAAGTAGTTGGAGATCAAATTGTGGTTTTATTTTTTACTCGTTTAAATTATGGGCGTGCTCAATGTAGCGTGCAGTTGAACATCGGGGCGCTAGGGCCACATTTGGTTCTGTCAAATGATACAAACAAAGGACTATTTAAATAACCATTGTAAGCGTTATTTTTATGACACAAAATTGAAAGAAAGTAAATAACAATTTTAGGTTCATTAATAAAATTAATAGTTATGAAAATATTACCCGTTATACAGTGGGGAAAATTTTATTGTACTATTCGTGTACTTGTACTGTCGTAATTACTGATATTAAACAAGAATCACAACAAAAAAATAGAAAATGTCTTAACTGAGTTATAGTTAAAAGAACAATGTACAATATAGAATCCTACACTATAACGATAACCAAAACGCTTAACTGCGCATACGCACGCAACGTTGGCAAAAACACGAACAGAAATAGGTCGTTTGGTCTAAAGTTACCGCATCCGGGAATAAATGGTCCGTGGGAGGATAAAAACTGATTCGGTGACATCTAACGTGACTTGGAGACTTGACTCTTCACCTTATAGTTTGAACTTACAACTAAAATGTAAGTTGAAATTCCGGAGCCAAGATATGATTATCGCTCTCATCTAATCGTTTAGTTCCACAGTTAAAACATATTCATCTTAACTTCATATGTATTTTATACGAAATACTGCTTTATAGATACAATAAATTGTATCATAATTATATTAGGTTATAATTTATTTAGTAAATTAAGACATTTCAATAAAATATTCTTTTAACAACCACATCACTAGAAATGCCGATAGCACCGTCTCGTTAATTAAATATGCAAATGTATTAATAAAAAATATTTGATAATATTCTGGTTATAAAACACACAATGTAATTTCATTAAGTTGATAACATTCACAGAAACTATACCTATATTATTCTAGTACAGATAACGCCGTTCCAATAAACATGTAAAACAAATTATATAAATGGCGGCCATTAATTATTTAATAAGTAATACAAGCACTCTGTCTATTAGGTAGGTACGATAATATGTATAATTACTAAAATAGTACATAACTGTTACTATTGGAGAAATGTATGTTAGAATTAATAAAATTTTATTGAAACTAAATATTGATCCGAACGTCTCTACATATTGGAATATAATTAAATCAAAAACTGAATCTGTTTGTTAATAAACGAACATGAATTTAAATCTTACACATTGAATTTGTGATGAAATCTGTGGTCGCCACCTTCGAGATTTCACTAGGTAAAATTAATTTGGCCCCGAGCAGATAAAATCTAAATCACAATATTTTGGAGTCGCCAAGAGACGGCGATACCTTCTGTCAGGTGAACTCAATGAATCAAACATAATTGATCGAACGCCGACTTGATCGTGCGATGACGTTGTCAACCCTGTCAACTTGTACACGGGTTTTTGTCACTTTCGTAGTATATTCTTTTTTATTTTTTATATCTATGCTTGGTCGCACTGCTTAATGTTGTCAATG